AAAAAAGAGGTGGGAGAGAAAAGGAGATGTTCCAGGCCATGATTATAAAGGCGTTTTCTTGCCAGCATCTCTGTGCTCAGTGCCAGTGGCAAAAAGATTTATATTGGAGCCTTTGGTACCAATCTGTACCTTAGTTCCTCTGAGCAAGGAAAAAAGCCCTTAAAACAAACGGTGCCTTTCCACTGGAATTACAAAAGGCCAGCAGTCTTCCTAGTATTCCCTCAGACACCAAATGAGATTCACGGATCCTTTCTAGGCTGAGAGTAAAGGAATTATTTGATCATTAATGTGTTAACAATTATGGAGATAAATTTAGGTGATGCACAAAGTGTAAAGTCAGATAAAGCCACATTGGGTAGTTTTATTTTGTGTTATGGGTCAGTTCCCATAGGCACATTCTTTTGCTTCCAGTCCTTCATACCATGGTTCAGAATCATCTAAAGATGATGAAAATAGGTAATAAAATATGAATTTATATGATGAATAAAACCAGATTATTTTATAAAATTTTAACTGCTTTAGAAGCTGATTGTGTACAGAAAGAAACCTCTAGACATTTAGAAGCTGATTGTGTACAGAAAGAAACCTCTAGACATTTGAGAGGACTTGCAAGATTTTTTTCCTGTTATTGCATATATTGAAATGTTTTCTATTATGTACGTTGCAAGCTTGATAAAGCAGGTTTGTTTACTGCCTAATTTTATTTTTAATTAAACCAAAAATTACTTTCTCTTTAATATGACAAAGTTATATTTAAGCAATCATGCTAATGAAACATTGGGCTTCTATTGTGTTTGTTTTGCTTTCTTAATCAGATAACACAATCATTATAATTCACACTTAAAAGGGAAAGACTTTTGAGAACAAATTTATGTTTTGTAGAAAATTACTAATTAGAGTTCTCTGTTCTGCCAAACTGCTTCTTGTACATTGGAGCAGATGCCTAATGAATACAAATATGCCTGGAAAATTCTGTATTCTCTGTGTCTAATGCTAAAGTTCCACAGTCCAGATTTTAAACATGTATAAAATCTGTAGAGAAATTGTTTAAATAAAAGAAATCTATTCCTTTTAAAAAATTGGAATAGGAAAGCAAATAAAAACACGATATCTTTAAAACCCTTGCATTAGCCTATGTTGTTTGTGGTTGAAATAGCAGCCATTCATTCATGTTTGGCTCTGTGTACCATGCATTAGAGGAGGGCTGTTTGATGATACAACCTTGCAGGAGATGGTACATTTTTAAAAAGCTGGATATATGAAAAGCTCTTGCAGCACGTTGTTGTCATGTAGTTTTATGCTTTAAATTCTTACTGTATATTAAACTCTTGCGTGCTGTAGTCCCATATTGTTAGCTACCTGGGGAGTTTCTTATGAGACATGAAGGAGATATAAACAAATGTAACATTAGATCACAGGCTTGTTTTGTCTCTGAAAGATTCAGAATACTGGTTAGCAATCAGTTTTCTTAGAGGGCCAAAAACAGATGAGAGACAATGCTTCAACCCATACATCCCATGTTTTCTGCACCTCTTTAGAAGAACTAGATAAGATCTCTGTGGGAGTCAAATGTAGTGTAGAGGCTTCCAGTCGTTAACTGCCTAATGTAAAACCACACACTTTTTGTTGTCTTTGCAAAATGTTACCTATTTTTTAATTGGCCTGGTCTCTTACTCCAAGTGCTTAGAGTTCTTTTTCATTCTAGATTAACAAGTACATGATAAGGGTTTAGTAGATACTCTGATGTACTGTGTCTGATGAACCAGTGTGGCAGTTTTGGTCATATCACCAGTGCTTTCTGTCTCACTTTTCTAGTAGTAGGGGTCGTGGCCACACTTCCAAGTGCTGCCCTCATTTTATGGAGCACGTCTTTGAACATTTGAGAGCAGCCTCCTTGTTGATGACTTGCAAGAGAGGCTTTGAGCTTAAACTTTTTAGAAGGAGGTTTGGGGACTCATGGAGGGGCAGCAGTAGGTATTCTTTTAGACTGAAAACTGTTTTATAAATTCTGTGGCTGGCTTCTAGCTTTTGTTTCTTTAATTCTGTGTTGTTAACCACTTTGGGTCCCAGATTTGTGGGAGAAAAGTTGACTCTTGTTTATTTTACATAAATAAATACATCCACTTTTGTTGCCTCATATGATCAGATTATGTGTGCATCCTAGACACATGTCTGAGAGAATATGGCCTCTTTCTCTAATCCCACACCAAAAGAGCCCCATGTGAGCAAATTGCCTTCCTCCTACCCTTCATTTACTCCTTGCCTTGGGAGCTGCTAGCTTAGGCTTCAGCATTGTCCAAAACAAATGAATACCAGTTATTTGAAAAAGGCTCCCACACCAGTAATAAGTTATCTTTAATTAAGAGGGAGAAAAGCCATTCAGAAGGAGCACTAGACCCAGATAAAGTGAAGATCATGATTTTTTAAAATGGGAAATAGTATAATTGTACATGCAGGGAGATTAGTGAATCTTAATCAGTCAAAAATACCAAGTACAAGTTTGGTAGCTGTGTAAATCTGTCTGTAGCAATAGAAAATAGCAAAAACCCAGTAGCATCTTAAAAACTAACAAAATTTGTGGCAGGGTATGAGTTTTCGTGAGGCACTGCTCACTTTTTCAGATCACTTCTTCGAGTATCTGAAGAAGTGAGCAGTGACTCACAAAAGCTCATACTCTGCCACAAATTTTGTTAGTCTTTAAGGTACTGCTAGACTGTTGCTCTTTTCTACTAATCCCGGGTACATTATACTAGTTGTTGTTGTTGTTCAGTCGTACAGTCGAGTCTGACCAAGTGATCACTAAAGAGCAAGTTATGGTATGCACTCAAATATGTTACCCCCATCAGGCCGGGAAGGAGAGGCCAAAATGAGAGAAAGTGTTTTATAGCCACCGGTCTCAGAGGCCCAGATGTTCAGGCAACAAGTAAATCCAGATGGGGACGGAGCTATAGATATTGCATACCAAAGGACCTCTACAGATATACAAACACAAGTTGTTTGGAGCCAGCTTGAAACTAACCCATAAACTAAACTATATAGGACAAAAGATTTGTTTTCTGTATGTGCATAGGAAAAGGGGAGGGATCGGAGGAAGGTGATTGGTTTCTGTCCTAACTCCTGACTGCACAAAAGGGAGAGAAGGTGGTCTTGGGTCCTGGGAGGTTTCCAGGCAGGAAACAAATGTTTTCTGGGGCAGGTTGAGCCTGAGCAAAGTAATGGGTTTGGTGGGCAGTTCTGATCAACTTATCTAAAGAAAAGAAATGAAACTAATGAATTTAACCCAAGTATGGGCCTGGATCCTATGATTAGGTAATGGAAACATTTAATTTCAGAAGGGTGTGCTAGTGGCTAGAAGGGTGTGCTAGTGGCTAAAGGCATGCTGATTGTAAGAGACCTTGATTATTGAGCTGAATGCCAGGGATGAGAGTTGAGAGGGCTTTTCCAGCAACTTCCTGGGATTCCTGTTCAGTTCCAGGCAGCGTGATTGAATCAGCTGTGATTCAGCTTCCTCTGCTAATGCTTTGCCTTTTGTTCTGTCCGGTCAGAGGTTTGTTTGTTCTAATGTATGTCTCAGCACTAACATGGAAGCAACGTGAACATAAGGGGACCAGTTGATGAGCAGACCTGTAACACACAAGCTGTTTCCTCTTTTTCCCTCCCGTGTGCACATGGTAAAAGCAGACTTCTTGGTATAGGCCTTTGCCTTCCAGACATATGTTATGGGGTAAAAATAGTTTTATTTTGCACCTCTTACTACAATAAAGGTTGAAGCTGCCTTTACTTGGATTATATTTTGATTATTACATTCTTTTCCAAAGTCTGGACACCATTGTTACATTTATTATTAATGTTCAGAATATTTAAATGTTATAGAGTGGTGCTATTAAATCGTCAGTACCAGTTAGTCTGCAGATACCCCACGAAAGTGACTGTTTCATAAATGTTGTGTTCGTTTGCTTGCCCACACATATCAGTTTTAGTCATTTTTGCACTAATTAGCTGAAAGAAGAAGAGCCAACTCTTTTTCAAAACCTTCCCTGCCTGATTTGCCAGGAAGTTATTTTAAATTTATTTATTTGTCTGATTTATATCCTGCCGTCCCTGCAAGCGGGCTCAGGGCGGCTCACATCAGTCTCAATATGATGCAAGTAAAAACAACTCTAACATAACAATTTAAAAAAGAATGGAATCACGTAAACAAATAGAATCAGATGTCAATTTTGATGTCATCAGATCAGTTAAGATACAACAGTGGGTACCCCGATGTCTATTTGGATCCAGGCCACTGGTGAGGGATTGGCCAGAAAAGGGCAGGACTGTTGCAGTGACTGGGTGAATAAGCTGTTTGCCTGACTAATATTTACAAATATTTATAATTATAAATAAGTTTCATTTTGGCTATAAAAACAGAGTTGCCAAATCCAGTTTGGGAAATTCCTGGAAATTTGGGACAGTGCCTGGGCAGGGTGGAATTTTCTGGGAGCTATGTGGGGATCTGATGCCATAGATCCTGCTCTCTTCTCTAGGGGAACTGATTTATCTGGGCATTAATTGTAATTTGGTGGAGAACTGCAGGTCCTACCCTGAGGTTTGTAACCCTAATTCATTATGGCTGTTTTTGGATTAATGTCTCCCACAGACTTCTCAGTTATGGAGGGGGGAGCGATATACAGAGTGGGTTGTATTTTTGCATGGTTTCCGTTCTGGCAGCAGTGTCCTCTATCTAGCAAAGTTTAGTTCTTGGAGACTTCTTGCATGACCTTTTGTTCATCAGTCTTTCTGTAGCATGTTGTCATATTGATCAAACAGAGGCAATAATATATGAGTTGTTTATTACAGTGAGTAAGGTATTTTTCCCCTGCTGTGTTCTGAAGTGGAAATCACCTTAACATCTGAAATTCAGACTTTAAGTTGGCTAAGTTGCCAGACGTGTCTTATAGGCTAGCCTACATAATGTATATCTTTATGCTAATACTTTTCTCTGCAAATATCTTTGTCAGATTTTCATGGATCTTAATAGTGCCAGTAGCATTGTACTTCGGGTCTTGACTCAAGCCACCAGTCAAGATACTGCTGTGCTGAAACCAGCTGAGGAACAACTGAAACAGTGGGAGACACAACCAGGTTTCTATTCAGTATTGTTGGTAAGCTACTGCAGTGAGATGCAGTTGTTTTTCTCAAGTCTTTTTAGCATTACTTTTTCATATTCACTGTCTTTCTAGAATGAACAACAATGTACTAATTGCTCAGCTCTGTGAATGGATGTTCTAAAAAGATAAAGATTATCTTCACTGATAATTATCTTCACTTCACTGTGATGTGTTGTAGCGATTTTCAACAATGCTTGAGTAGACCTTATTCTGGAGTAGATACCTTATTAGAAAGGAACATGTTTTCTGTTGCAGTGATTCTCTTATGCATAGTGATTTAGAAACATAAGTGTCATGTTTTCTTGCATTTTATTTTTGTGACCAGTAGATTTGGAAATGCGTGTTAACTGACAGGATTAAAGCCTCATTCCTGTAATAGAGCATATTCCCTTCCAACCCCCAGGAAAAAAACCCAACAACCTCTCTCTAGAGGAATAAATGAAGTGCTTTGCTGAGCGAACTTTCAGTTTAGGTTCCTAGAATCATTAAGATTGGTGGTATGGATGTGACTTGTCCAATTTTAGTATATGTGCTGTCTTAACTAGAACTGAGACTGAATCCTTAACCGCATAGGATTTTTGGATAGATACCCTTAAAGGACAGCTGTACATCACTAAACAGATATGCATGTTGAGTTGCAGCCATTGTTTTGTGCTAGATACACTATGATAATGCCTGTCTGTGGAATGGGTAGGGTGAGAAAAGCTTCCTCTGTCCTTGTAAGGTCTGAGAATGCTTTTGGGATGAGCAGGGCAGATTGGTGCTGCCATCTTCTTCCTCTTTTCTACTCTGTATGGCAACATCTCCTTTCCTTGTCTTCCTGGACTGGTTCTAATCTGCTTAGACTCTTACATAGGCCTTGAGTCTGTGAAGAGTGGGAATGGGACCAAGAGGCAACGGGGTTTGTTTCTGTGTCAGATACTTTGGCCTCATTCATTCACTGGTGGGGATTTCAAAATAGCTTATGTTCAGTTTGAAAATAGTATATTATCAATTCCCCTTTGAAACTCAGAACATGCCTGTTTCATCGTAGTCGCCAGCTGTGAGCAAGCTAGTACAGATGTGGGAAGAATGGGCTTTGTGAATTTTGTCTTTACACGCTTGAAACAAGCTCTGCACCAGCTCAAAAGTGCCAGTGCAGTGTGTTGCATCATCTTCCCTAAATGTTTAAATGTTATTTCATGTTTCAAAGGACTTGCAGAAAGCTAGCAGATCAGGGGATATGCTTTTCTTTTACTCTTTTATCCTTGCCATAGTAATTTAAAGGAAGGAATTGGATTTTAATTGGAATTAAATAACAAAGTTGGAGTCTGTTTGCTTTAGATCCGAAGAACTGGAAATGTTTTTCTAGCTATTCCAATTCAGAAGAATGGCCCCAAGGGCTGTTTATGCTAATTCATTTAATTGAATGAGAATCTGAAATGGACCACAATTTATAATGAAAAGGAGTTTCAGTAGATGTTTTATTGATGTGCTTAAACTGATGACATGTAATATCAATACAGTATGAATTTGTATAAAGGATAAAAATTAGAATAATGCCATCCATCGTTTGTACAGTGTATACGAATACTAATGCCAGAACTTTCACTATTCTTAACTGAATTCATTTTCTGTAGGTAGGTTGAGGAACTGGTTAACAGTGATTTCACTAGGCTTGGTTTCTTCTAGTTGCTGAGCATTGTGAGAACTAAAATATATAATTGGGGGGGGGACTATCTAGAAGATAGTGTAAATCAGATATAATATGGATTATGATTTCTTATATAGAATTATATCTTTGATTTTGCAATTGACAAGAAGGTATGTTCTTTTGAGAAATCACCCTAGGACATTGCTCGAATACTTTTTCTTCAATCTCACAAGCACTGCTGCTGTGCATCGCTCTGTATTTGTTTAACAGAGCTTACTCATTTATTTATATAATGACCGGTTTTACTACTTTCAATATGCAGGCCATTTGTATTTAATTTTTTACACAGAAGGTCCATGGTGGTTCTGACTAATCATTGTGAAATTGCTTGCATCTGTCCTGTCTGCCATATTTGATAGAATTTTTTTTGTGGCCTGTGTTTATGTTGCATGTTGTAGGGAGATCCATAATCAGATCTACAGGCATATTTTTAAATGTTAAAAAGTCACCCAGGGGGTGGGGTGGATCAGGGCCATAGCGCCTGCATGGGGTTAACCCTTTCACCTTCCACATTGCTTTTCCCACAGAAATACATGTGCATGCACACACATTCATACCCAATCACGTTGCTGTTAATTACGCTAGGGGTAAAGACATGCACAGTTTATCCAGATAATCTAGTTTTAGAACTCAGGATGCTAAATGGTCCCCCCACACACACCTTTTTATTCTTGCAGCTGTTGTATCATGTGGAAAGCATGAGGAAGGAAGAAAGGAAAAGTTATTTCAGGCCATGTTGAAAGAGCCAAAAACCTGCAGTTTGTAGCTTTCTCAAACTGGAGATCTGAAAGTGTTGCAGAATTTATTAGGTGACATGTTGATGGGTGAAAGATGGATTCCAAGATGCCCCAAAGGCTCCTGGGATGAAGAAGCAAAAAAGCAGAGACTCTTCCATTGAAATATAGAAGCTAGCAGTTCACCAGAATGTTCCCCAGCACTGTCCAGAACACTCTAATCTCTCTAAAGCTGAGGGCAACAGAAAAATGTGGTATTTATTATATTCCTGGTGATGAATACTGGTGCACCTAAATGTTGAGTAGAGCTTTCCCCACAACTGTCCCACCTCCACACCTCTGTGAGGACCTCTCCCCTCAAAGTGGTGATTGGTGGTTCTTATTATGCAAAAGACACAACGGCTCTATATATTGATTTTTCTTAAAGCTGTATTTGTTTCCGTTAAATCCAACTGGAATTATATAGATTTTTTAATCTCCCTTGTGCTATTCTTCACTGTTGACACATGATATAGTGAAGTAATGTGATATCTATATATGTCTCTTTATATAGATAAAGAAGTGTGTTGAATTCTATACTTTCCTTACAGAATATTGTCACAAATCATGCCTTGGATGTGAATGTGCGGTGGTTAGCGGTGCTTTATTTCAAAAATGGAATTGACCGGTATTGGAGACGAGTGGCACCACAGTAAGGAAGGAATTTTCTATCTCTTGTTTGCAGTAGCGTGTTTTATAGGCTTTTGGTGATCTGCAAAATACTAATTTTCTGACAAGTAGTGTGGAAAGAGTATCTTAAAGGAAAATACATGAAGGCCACCCACAAGAACTTGTTGGTGGTGGAGCAGGAATTCCATCGCCTCTCCCTGCTGGCCCTTGTTTCCTCCTTCCTCTTGTGCCAGTTTGGTGTAGTGGTTAAGTGCGCAGACTCTAATCTGGGAGAACCGGGTTTGATTTCCTACTCCACTTGCACCTGGCTGGATGACCTTGGGCAAGCCATAATTCTGGCACAGCTGTTCTTGAAAAAGAGCAGTTTGTCAGAGCTCTCTCAGCCACGCCTACCTCACAGGGTGTCTGTTGTGGGGAGGGGAAGGGAAAGGAGTTTGTAAGCCGCTCTGAGACACCTTTGGGTAGTGAAGGGCGGGGTATAAATCCAAACTCTTCTCTTCTTGATCTCATGGAGGAGAGCTGGGCATGCATTCAGCTCCAAGTCTCCCCTAATTAGCTGGCCAGTGATGGTTTTTGTAGGGGGGAGTTAAGGGCTGAAGGCTGGACCTAGAAGCAGCTGCATGGTAGGGAGGAGGGTAGATGTCTAGGAGCAGAAAGTACACGCAACTGTTTTTCTGCTCTAAGCTTCCTTCTCACGCATATGCACGCAAATTACTGCCATTAAGCTAATGGGAGGGCACATCTTCCACTAGATTCTTGGGTCCTTGCTTGCCTTCTTTCGTTTCACCAGTGGCAATGACCACCTTCGCCACTGCCTTCTTATCCCCCTCCTGGCAACTGTTGCCAATCTCTTACCCCTCCAGCCCTGGCATTGCCCCCAAGACAGCAGCTATAACATGTAGACAATCACCAATTAGCTCTCTATATCACGTGGAGCGTACCTGTGCCATGCTTTTTTTTTACCATGTCTGTAACTGTGGGAGTTCTGTGAATGGTGGTCCCCTTGCTTTTTGTTTCTTTAAAAAGCTGGCACAACGGGGGCCTGATTTTGATCAGCACTGTGGCACGAGTGATTAGATTTTAACCACCCCCCCCCCGCTGTTTTCCTGACCTGAATGGTACTTACTGAGCTACCATTTCTTGTTATATTTTCCCAGCAGCACGAATACTATCTCTGCAGGGTTGTTTCAAGTAAAAGAAAAACAGTGTCTCTGAGTGGGAAAGACTTAACGTCCCTCCACTGTGCCATGGTTCTGACCTGCACACCTTCATATGAGAAACACTGTTGTGGGGGACATTTCTGCCAGAGGTGGGATGGGGTGGGTGTTGCCTTGATCATTAGTCATTCTTATCAGCTAGGTTATTTTTGTGTCTTTCAACAGTAGTAGAATTTCTATTTCATGGCTTAGTGACAATTTATTAACTTTTCCTGTTTACATTTATACACGTTTTATGTGCCACTTTCCATAAGTTTCTTACAGCTTAAAGGTGGCAAATTTCATAGGATAAAATCTGAATTATTTCACACCATATATTGCAATGTAATGCATTTTTGGATTCATGTTTTATTAACACATTTCTAAAATGCCTGTGTAGTCAATACACCAACTGAAGTGAACTCAGCAAGCTTTTCTGAAATGGAACATTTGTTCAGTTATTCAAATGAGTCTATTATCTGTTCTGCAGCTTTGTTGGTACATATGTTTGTTAATAATAGTTAATGTTTACATAGCTAATTTCACGTGGTTAAGTGAATAAATTAATAATCAACATAAAGCTATTAACATCATTAAATGGAGCAACTCATCATTAACATTCAGTGCTAAAGAGAAGTTTCTAAATCATGAATGATTTCCTGAAAGTGCAATTGTGGGGGAGGAAAGTGTGTGATTACTTCAACCATCCAGTAGGTGTCAGTATTGCATAACAGGAACAGGTTGGTCTTTTTCATTTCTTATATCTAAACCTTCCTTTCTAAAGTGTTTTTGAAATCAATATACTCTGAATGTTCCTTTAACATGTATTCATCTTTTGCCATTCTTCATCATGTTATGCATTTTTTCAGACAGCAAAATGGTTCAAATTCCTAACAAGGGCCCAAATCCTTATAGTTCTTCAACAAATGTATTTAGACATTTTGAAGAGTTTTTGCTAATACTAATATTTATTTATTGTTTATTGTCTTTACTGTTTTTGCAACCGGAGTCATAAACAGCAAAATACTTATATTTAAGATTACCTTGACTTGTACTTATATTCATAAATTGCTTACAAGCTCTGGCATCTTCCAGAGAAGCACGAAGGAAGATCTAAATAGAGTAGAGCTTTCTCTTTTTCTACTATGACCTGTGTGCTTGCTTCCATATTGCTAGCTGCTTTTAAAATTACCATACAAGGTTTAGTGGGCACAGCTGTTGCCTGGAAGAGAAGCATATAGGGTCATACTCTTACCTGTACCCTTTGAACAAATCACCTTTTTATTAGTTTCGCTGCTCTTATAGATAATTGTAAAACTTCCCAGCCAGCTTTTCTTTGCAGACATAAATGTACCAGGCAAACTAAACCTCAGGCATTCTTTCTTTAGTGTATAATCTCCCCGCGTGTCACACACCTGTTTCTAGCGTTTCAGTCTGTACTTAATTCCCGGAGTTTATGCTGTTAACCTTACAACTAAGTCAAATGCAACATTTGTTCTTCTACTGACATTTTGTGTGGCAGCAAAATTGTTGAATCTATATGTAGTGTCCAAGTAAAGCAGGCACACTTGTTATTGGTCACATTTCTAGCCTGCTATTTTCCCAGATAACTTAGGATAGCATACATGGTGCTCATCCCGTGAAGCTGGGTAGGCTGAGAGAAAGTGACTGGTCCAAAGTCACTCAGTGAACTTTGTAGCTGAGTGGGGATTTGAGCACAGGTACTATTGGGCTAAATTCAGTATAATCCATTATATCACAGTGGTATCATAACTTGATTTAATAAGGTTGAGTCATTTTCTGAAAGGGCTAAGTTCACAAAATATGTAGAAGTTATAAAAATTCTAAGAATTCTAAGAAAAGAAAACTTTAGTGAACTACCATTATTGGTCTGATGCTTCAGCTCCAATCCTAAGAACACTTTCCTGAGAGTAAGCCCCAATGACTAAAATGAGAGTTATATCTGAGTAGACCTGCATAGTACATCACCATTTTACGGTCACCTGCATGATTTCCCCTCTAGTTGAATGTTGCCAGGAAATAGTCCTGCCAAGCCCAGAAAGCTCTCAGGTCTTAGGTTTTAGGAAATGAAAAGTTTGTACTTTTGTGGATTTTTTATGATTGTCTTTACTCATTAATATATGTTTGTGTTTAACCAGCGCTCTTTCTGAAGAGGAGAAATCTACATTGCGTGCAGGGCTTATTGCAAACTTCAATGAGCCAGTAAATCAGGTTAGTAATGATATAAAAAGGTTAATAATTCTCTTCCAAAGAATGTGTACCTTTCAATTTCCTTAAATTCATAATGGAATGGATCTTACTCTTGGGGGGAAATTATACATTTAAAGAAATATTTCATGGTTGCTCATGTAAGCAAAATATTCATGATAGCTCACTTGTACCAACAGTAATTGTGCATCTGGAGATTCTTTTAGCAAATTGCTTTTGCTTTTCCTTTCTTAAATTTTCAATAGACTTTCATGCAAGAAAAATCCGTAGAGATTTGCAAGGAAGATCCAGACTGCTGTATCAAATTCATGACAATATCTGAGAACATGGTTGTGCAGGGTGCATGCATAGGGAGGATAAACTGTTAGCAGTACATTTTTAAAAGCAAAGTTACAACCTTCTAAGCTCAGTGACTTCAGTGAATTTAGAATGGTATAACTGTTGAGGGTTACACTGTGAATTCCAGGGAAGTTCTTTGTTCTTACAGCATAATTTTTGAGTGGATTCATCTGCTTAACTTTGTTAAGATGTTAGTTGGTATTCCAACAGGCATGTGAGGCTGTTAAAACAGAAATCAGTGGGTTTAATCATTAACTCTGTTTTAGATTATGGGCATGACCTTGAAATATATGCCTGCTGTCTTAACTCTCGGTGTTACTTTTAGGTGCCCTGACCTGGATGGCCCAGGCTAGCCTGATCTTGTCAGATCTCAAAAGTTAAGCAGGGTCGGCCTTGACTAGTATTTGGAAAGGTGACCTCCAAGGAATACCAGGGTCTTCACGTAGGAGCAGGGACTGGCAAACCACCTCTGAAACATCTCTCGTCTAGAAAAAAGTGTGGCTCACCTCCTAGTGGTGAATAACACTAAAAGTGCTAGAAATTCTGCCTGCCAGACAATCTTAGGATCTCCTGGCTATGCTACACACAAGGCCATACAATAACTGTTAATTACCTTTGGTTGTCTTTATAGATTGCGACACAGATTTCTGTCCTGATAGCAAAAGTTGCTCGGCTAGATTGCCCTAGGCAGTGGCCGGAACTCATTCCCACCCTTGTAGAATCTGTTAAAATTCAGGACGATCTTCGCCAACACAGAGCTTTGCTTACCTTCTATCATGTTACAAAGACTTTGGCATCAAAACGGCTTGCTGCAGACAGAAAACTTTTCTATGATGTAAGTATCACTTTCAGTGAAACACCATTTAGTCCAAATTAATATCTTGCGTCAGGAGTGAAGTTTTGGTATTTCTGTCTTCCTCCATTTAGACCAGGGTGGTTAAGGACAGCACTGAAAACGTGGAATGCTGCTTGTCCCAGTGAGGTTTCTTTTTGAGAGCATTTTTATTTATCCTTTACTGTGATTTACTGTGGTGATGCGCTCCTTTGCAATGCAGGTTCAGTAAACCCCGTGCATATGACCCAGAACAGCTGTAATATTTCCTGATCTCTTAACCATGAGTAAAAGACTGGGCATGCACCATGGCCTTGTGTGCCCCCATCCTCCTCCCTTCCCAGAAAATTCCTCCATCACTTCCCCATTCAGCATTATACATAACATAGCATTTTGTTTGCAGGCAGATTGATGCTAACAATGGCTAGCTTGTTTGAACCTTGTTCCAGACTCCAGTTTAAAGGTAATGCTGATTAACTTTAAAGTCTCTGCTGGTTGCTGAACAAGGAATTGAGGGGAAATCTCTTGAGCATTCAGGGCACCCCTAAATTTGACCTATGGAAGGTCAGTGTCAGGTCAGATGTGCTTAGATTTTATTTATTCTGTGTAGTGGAACTCACGTTTTTATTTTATATGTTCTGGGCTGAGAATGGTAAATTCTAGTTTGTACTTTACACTGTGTACCAGGAGTCCCAAAAATTCTTTAATCTCCCAAAATTCTTTAAGTTTGGAACTGTGGTTTGCAGAATAAGAACAAAACAGAGCTTGCATGTTCAGATGCCATAAACCTGAAAATAATTCTCCCCCATACCTAGGTGTAAGAGGGAAGGTGTCACAGGTAACATGTGAGTGAGTCCTGTTATACTTGAGAAATCATAGATTTTTACCCCCCTATTTGGAACATGGACTAAAGTTTGGTCTCTGCCCTGTGAGCCACATTGGCATTTTTGTTTTGGAGAGCAAAGAGCAAATCATGGTGAAGAAAGGAAGGATGAGGAAGTACTTGAGCCCAAAATATGGTCTGTGACTCATAGTTTCACATCCTAGTTTGCAACCTGTTCTCAACTACAGTATAGGAATTTTGGTGCAGCATAACAAGAAGTAATCTTCATTAGGTCTTACTAAATCAAGTGAATTTTTTATCCGCTCTGTTTTATCTCCATGTCCATAGCACATATTTTATTACATGTTGCCAGTTTAAATGCAGACATCATGCTAACAATACTCTTTGTAACAGCTTTTTGTTGTTTTAAAAATTTCTCTAAAAATCTCTAACACCATGCAAGAAGTTTTTGTTCTAATGAACATAATGTAAGAAAGCCCTTTCCC